GAGCTGGACTGGTTTTGGGATGCGGTAGGGGGAGGGGAGATTTTGAAACTTGTGAAATCCACATTGATACCATTGGGCTGCAGGGTTCCCAAGCGCTTCCCCACCTTGTTGTCTCGGATTGTCCAGCATCTGCAGTTCCTACTATCTCTGATTCAATAAAAACCTAGAATCAGGTTTAAAATTTATGCCATTTGATCAGATGGCAAATATGGTTAGATGGATCCAGATCTGCAATCTATGAGGTAGATTTTAAAAAGCAACGGCAACTTGAACCTTGACAGGCTTGGATCACTTTCTGTAGAGAAGACTGATGATTGAGGGGTATAAGATTATAAGGGGCATGGACAGAATGAATAGAGAGCAGCTGTTCCCCTTGGTTGAGGGGTCAATCACGAGAGGGCATTGTTTTAGGGTAAGCAGCAGGAGATTCAGAGGGGAATTGGAATGCACTGCCTGGGAAGGTAATGGAGGCTGGAAACCTTACTACCTTTAAAAAAAATTTGGACGAGCACTTCAAATATAACATTCAAGGAAATGGGGCAAATGCAGGAAATTGGGATTAGCGCACTTTTTAGTGGTAGTTATGTCAGTATGGGCCAAAGGGCCTTTTCTGTACTGTATGAATTTATGAAGCAACTCATAACCACAGTAGTTTTAAAGATCCCAAAATCATATGTTAAATCAGTTGGATTGAACCCCATTAGAATTCCCCAGCTCTTTGTAACAGCTTTATTAACAAATTTAGTCCCAAATGTTATGATTACAAATTTCAGACTCAACCAATCACTAACAAAAAGGTCCAAATATTGAGAAAGGTCACAGAACTTCAGCATTGGCACTTGTTTATTTTAGGGATAGGGATTACACAGTTTCCAATCTTAACCACTTCATTCTAGGGAGCTAAGGAATATGTGAAATACAATCAATGCTTGGGTCACCCAAGCTTTCCTTATTCACTTTCTGCGAAGAGCTTAAAATGTCGTTAGTTAACACCTGAGACCTAATTTTTATCTCTCAATTCAGGAACAACAGTTAGAAGTTAATAGATTAAAAAATTAACCAAGACTTTGTACAGATAAAGGCAACAGCTAATGAAACGGTAGGCCAAACTAACCCTAAGGTTTTAGGTTTAATTTTTCTGGGAGGTTTTTACATTATTTTTGGTCTGACTGATATAGGGCTGGGGAGGCAATGAAGAAAAATAAAACTAAATTAAAAAAACAGAATTCCCATTTGTTATTCAGTCACTCTTGCAGAAATGAGTACATAAACAAGTAAGAAAGTAGGAACAAGGAGGAAGTCATTTGGCCCTGTGAACCTGCTCCACCATTCAAAATGTTCGTGGCTGATCATCCAACTCAGTACCTTGTTCCCACTTCCTCTCCCTACCGTTTAATCCCTTTACCCTAAGAACTATGCCCAAGTCTTTCTTGTAAGAAATCATAGCAAGAATTGAACAACTGCAGCAAGATACACTCCTTGCTTGAACCCTCTCGAGATAATATTTGAATTCAAATAATAATTTTTTTTTGCTTCCAAACTGGATAACCTCATTTACCCACATAATACTTCATCTGCCATGCATTTGCCTACTCACCCAACTCACATTGCAGCATCTCTGCACCCTGCTCATAGTTCACTGTCCCATCCTGCTTTTTTCCACTACCAATATCAGGCTAACTGGTCTATAATTTAGTCTACTTTATTTTTTAAGTAGTGAGGTTATATTAACTACCCTCCAATCTATGCAAATTTTGAACAATGACAACCAATGCAACCACTATTTCTAGGACGACTTAATTGAGTATTATGGGATTATTGGACCCTGGAAATTCATTGGCCTTGAATCCCATCAATTTCTCCAACACCATTTCCCTACTAATAGTGACTTCTGTCAGTTCCTCTGTCTCACTCGGCCCTATGTTCCCCAACATTTTTCAGAAGTTGTTTGTGTCCTCCTTTGTGAAGGCAGAACTAAAGTTTGTATTTAATTGGCTGTCATCTCTTTGTTCCCTTTTATAATTTACCATCTCTGACAATAGGAAACTTGCATTTGTTTTCACCAATCTTCTCCACATACCTATAGAAGCTTTCACCATCATTTTTTGTTCCCCACAAACTTTCTCTCATACTCTATTTGCCGTCTCTTAAATCAATCACTTTGTCTTCCTTAGCAGAAATCTAAAAACTACTCCCAATCCCCAGGTCTGCTGCTTTTTATTGGCCAATTTGTAGTCCTCTTCCTTGGATCTAATGCTATAAAAGGAAATGAACAATTGTTTCAGTGTATCCACAAGCCATTGCCTAACCACCAATATCCTGCTAAGCAACGTTCTCCAATTTTTCATTGCCAGATTGCACCTCATACTATCGTAGTTTCCTTTTAGATTCAGGACCCAATTCTCAGAATCAAATACGTCACTCTCCATCTTAATGTGGTCTTGCACAGCGAGATTGCCAAATATTTTTCTCATTATACAATACCCAGTCTGCAACGGCTTGTTCTTAGTTTTCCTCAACATCCCATACACTTTCCAGGAAATCCTCCTTGATGATTTTGTTACTGATTTGATTTGCTCAATTTATATGCAGATTAAATTTGCTCACAATTCAGCTGTATGTTTATTGCTAGTGCCTCTAATTTCCTCTTTCCCCGTGTGACGGTACTATAGCTTTAAGAGGTGTATTTTGTCCTTTTTTTTAAATCAAGAAAGGATGAGACAGAGATGTTGAGTGGTCTGTTAAAAGCTAGTACGGTAAACAGCTTGTGAGGCCTTGATCTTTGTTTAAGAAAGAACAATAGAAGCAGCTTGAAAGGGTGGGGTCAAGCTCCCACCGAACCAGGATTTTTAGCTTTCTGCAGTTGTTGGTGTCTTTAAGCTGGCTATGGAAGCTCTTATTCCCCTCTCTGTTGCAGCTAAAAGCTGGGGTCTCTTCCTGCTGCTCGAATTGCATACGAGACAATCTATTTCAGAGACAATCTGAATTTCCCTTTACCAAGTGTGTTTATGGGATATTACTATATTGGAACAGTTAATTAGTTTAGTTAATATATATTATTTTGTTAAGCATTTCAATAGAGTTAGTTAAGCCAATTCTTTATTTTTGTCTGTATTTTTAAACTACAGTTAAAATGAAGTGTTTTGCTTAAAGTCGAGTAGTTTGACCAATCGAATTGCATCAAGAACGCAATGCCTTATACTTACCTTTAAAATAGGAAAAAGTTAGCCTAGACCCTATCACCTTCATATATTTTTTGAGGGAATTTGGATAGGTCTGTAGCATCCAACAGTACCACTACAGTTTGGGAGTCAATATACAGTCCCCAAAACAATTTTCTCCTCATGGTTGTTTCTAAGCTCTACCTTCACCATTCCCCTTCACTGGAGCTACAGGAACATCAGTTATCCATAGGATGAGCCTAATTGCAAATAATTGGTGATGCACTTGTATGACTTACTGGCAAGTCACCCGTGATGCCTGTCAGAGGTGCAGAGCTTCCAAATAGTTTCATCTGGTAGACCCAGATTCTCGTGAAGAATGATCAATTAGACAAAATGCTGGTGAGCTCCCAGTGCCCTTGAATCAAACACCTTTACAAGAAATTGGGGAAAATTGTAAAGAAAGTCACCCAGAATAAAACAGGCAAAGAACTCAAAACAGCTGTGCAGAGAGTTGCACATTTTCAGGTGAATGGCTTTTCATCCAATGAGCCACCTGAAGAAATTAGAAAAAGTAAAATTGAGTCTTTTATACCTCTTCTACAAAAACAAAGTATTTTTGCATTTGTACCATTCTCATTAAAAAAAATTGTAAGGTTCATATAATTTTGCAAGGAGAAGGCACACTGCTGATTTTAAAAACTAAAACATTTTATGATCAAGCAAGTTCAAATTAACTCAAACAGAATGAATGATAAAAATCCCTTCTTGATACAGTGTCCTTATTTTGCTCTCCAAAGATTCTTAGCTCCTTCTCCCACTGGACCCAATCTGTTTTTTAAGATTATTGTGTCATTGCTTGTTATTGAACACAATGTACTACAGCTCACCGATTCAGCCAGACTTACTAAACGGCTGGCATTCAGTACAGCAAACCTCAGAAACAAATGATTAAGCCACTGAAGGAGCTAGTAACAATCTTTTTTAATGTTGGAGATGGTTAGAATTTTGCAAGTCCAGAAATTTGGCATTTTAGTAAATTGTATACGTGACCTTCAATGATCTTCAGCAAAAGAATAAGTACAAACAGTCAAGTTTTGTTTCTGCAACTCCTTTTATACAATTAAAAACAACCTAGTACAGTCCCTCCCAAAACAAAATTAAGGATAAATATACATATATACACACATACAGCAGTTTTTCCAATGTACAGCAGTCAGGAAACCTTTACATTTCCAACATAAATAGAGTTAATCAACTTTGGGGGCACAAGTTTACAAAGGCTATCCAATTTAAGGATTACTGTGATTTACAAAATCTACTGTTTATGTACAAAATATTTATATTAGAAAAATGCATAAATTACTTCAGTACAATTATTCCAGGGTCTCTTGGAATTTGAGACTAACTTTTGGCAAACAGCTGTCAAAATCCAAAGTTGCTTTTTTTTAAACTGCAATATAGCAATGGTGTATCAACGCTGCAGTTGAAAGGGGATCAGTAAACAAATAAATTACCCTTGCATTCATGGAAAACGTTTGCACAAAAACTGAAAAATATGGCTGCTTGTCTGAAATCCAAAAGTAAATCTACTTTTTTTATTTCAACCATTTTTGTGAGCAACCTTTACTGAACCATTTGCTAAGAATTACCAGTGGGGTAAAGAAAACGTCCAAAAAAACAACTTATGCAACATGGTAGCATCATAATCACACTATGTGCAAGTACTGAGTGACTAATCTGGTTGCTGCTGCAAAAAAAATTGACAAGCAGAGATCAAGCACTTCCTTTCAGAGTAGAGAGGTAGAGAAATAAATAAGAACCAGTCTCCCTGGACTGCACACACACTAGCATCCTGTTAATGGAGGCTTTATTAGAAGTCCCAAAACACCTTTCTCCTTGGACATGTTATGATGAAGAGCTAAAAGGTACTTTAAAAGGGAAAGAAAATGAAACAATGCGGCTGTGTAGTGGTTGTGTGGGGCTTTCCTGTATTAAACAATATAAAATACCTAATACTGTGATAATGAGCCGTGGAATCCAAGACAAACCAAGTCTGCTTGCTCCGCTGAAGGTATCATATAATTGACCTCTTGGCTGGGGCATTGGGGTAGGGGATTGTACTAGGAAATCATACGATACTTTGAAGAAAATCTAAGCGAGAGAAATTCATTACAAGTAAAATCAGGATAAAGCATGGTTGTGATATTCTCTCACATTATCCTTCAACTTTCATTTATACGAGGACTAACACTCAACAACTTCAAATCAGGCAAAGTACCAGGTGCTAAAGGCCATCTGTTTCAGGGAGGGAAAAACATGAAAGAAGTTAGTTTTAAAAAAGGGATAGAGAAGAAAAATGAATAGCTTCATGTAACTATTTAATAAAAAAAACTCTTCCATCATAATCTATTGCTACAACATAAAATGGCAAGGTGGTAGTTTTTCTATCATAAACAGTCAGTTCTGAGAGGCCAGTGATACAGAATCCATGTCCTTTGATACAGACAAACGTTAGCAATGTCTGACGCAACACTGATCTAAAATCATAACATCAGGGGCATGTTGGATGGAGAATTGGCTTAATGTGCGAGAAACAGCAGACTCTAGGTTGTAATTTCTGTAGTGGGGCCAACATACAGCTCTACCCATAGTAACTGCTCACCTACATTATATATTTTTAAATGATAGCCAGGGCAGTAGAAGTTTTCTATTCTCTGAGCTGAATGATCAGATTAATAAAAGTTCCAACTGAACTCAACATAATTTTCAAAGGGGTCTTTTGTGGGTGTGGGGGTGGGGTTGTGTGCAGGGGGTGTAAGGGAAGGAAAAATCATCCCATGAATGAACATTACATCTGGATGAACACTTGTAAATTGGATTAAAATATGTAGTCTCTTTCATTCCACCACATTTTGAATTCTGATCACTCCTGGTATGTAACAATAAAAGTTACATTATATTTCACCTGTCACTAATAAATCTTCAGAAGGATTATTGTGCTATTATGTCTCCAATTATCTTTTGAAATCAAACACAACACTTACATTTTACTGAAAGCTGGCTTTACCTAAGCACAACTATTCAAGGATACCAATGGCATTTAGTTCAAGGAAAAGTTATTTGTCAATGCACTGGTGTGCACTTCATCATACAACTAAAAGGGCTGTGTTCCTCAGGAAAGCTCAGTCTAGACAGTATAGAGAAGAGAATCCTCAGCTTTAGGTTTGGGATAGAGGGAATAAGTCAAATTTGAACAACTAACTTTTTGTCAAGGCTGTCTCATTACATACTCTCTCTATTCACATACCAACCAGCTTTGCATAATCTGTCAGAGTAATCACTGCCACCTGTTACTGAATAAGGAATAAATAGCAAATGATCTATTTTCATGACTGCTGTACTATCTTGTAAACTTAGAATCAAGCCCTGTCACATTGTATCACTGGACCTAACTGAAAAGAATGTAGTACAATAGAAATGCAAGTACAATGTAAAACATCAAGGTTCATACTGAGCATCATAAAATTAGAAATCTTATTATGATACTTTGTTTGGTCCTAGAGATTTTACTAACTTTTTTTCAGCAATATGCAAACAAAAGATGCCTGTTTATATGTTAAACTTCAGTTCTTATTTTGGTACACTGTTGAAAAACAAAGGTAAATTGCTTGGTATACACTTCATTAGCTGCTCTCAACTTAGATGGCCTTTTATACGGACGGAAATATAAAATTTTCCTTCAAGAATTTTTGTTTTGAAAATACACAATGTAGCATGACAGCAAAGAAACAGTGGTACTAAAGACACAGTATTACATCATCAATTTGCAGATTGGACGGACTTAAATATCCATTCTGTGCAAGGTAATCATGCTTCTATACTGTAACACAACCGTATATCACCATTCCCAAAATAATTGTTTTGAGGGGCCTGGCAAAAAGAAAAAGTGGAGACAGCTTGCCAAAATGCAGTAAAACATAACTGTAACTTGTGATTTATTTGGAATTTAAATAAGACACAAAAATCAAGATTAAATGGAGATGAACAGTCTACCATTATGTATCTATTTCTGTTATGATAATATTCTTGATTTTAACCCCTTACTGATTTTTTGAGAGGGAAAGTTGACTTTAGTTGTGGGTTTCTAGTCCTGATTTTCCACTTAGAGTTGATTATTTCTGTGGTCTACTTTGTACTTTCAGTATTTCAGGTCTTCATTGAATTTAAGAAAGATTAATTCTGAAATGGCACACCTATCTCTCAGACATTATGTGCATAAAGTCTATTTCACCCTCAGAATGCTAAAGCTAGTAGTAAGTACATGATAATCCAGTCAGCAGATTGAAGAGTGTTACTTAAGCCTTGTGGAACAGGGTGAGCTGAACCAAGGCCTTATCCAAACCAACTCTTGAGTTTACTGTCAGAACGTATTTCACAAACCCAAGGTAATTCTTCATCTTCCTGTGGGAAAGCAATGAGACTGTCAATGGATATGAGTACTGGTTATGCTCATGCAGTGTCCACCGAACATGGTGGTTGGGAAAAACAAACCATGTCCTGATACGAGTCTTAGTAACATTCTCTAGCTAAGTTGTGGGTACCAGAGGGTCCAGTTCAGTTTACTAGTTTTCTGTAGTGAAAAACCATCAGCTGGCAAGTAAAGCCTGTCAGTGTGCTGGTTTACAGAGTTGGTGAAATAGGCCAATAGTGGGCTACATTATTTCTGTAAGATCCAGTGAAGCCCTCCTGTTTCTCTGAGCATCACTCTTTTTAAAAAAAAACCTTTTCAGAAAGGGCATTTCTTTAAAGACGCCTCTTAAAGTATATCCAAAAAGGACTTGCATGCTGTGTGAAGTCCACCAGGTACTCTTTGAAAGTTGAAACCAGGGCTTTACAACAGGCACGGGATCCTGATTTGAATGGATGAATCTCAGATGTTCTGGGCACTCACTTCACAGCATGCCTGAAAAGTTGATTCAGTCAGGCAAATTGGTACACAAGATACACTACAAACAAGCTGTCATTTGTTTTTCAGAAAAGAGACAGGCTACAACCAGTTGAAAGTTTCTCCTGAAAATTTTTTTTCCTGACAGCAAGATCAAGATTAGAAATATAATATGCAGGGGAAGTTACTGACATGAGTTCACCATTCTATCATCGAACATCATACAGGCACATCAGAACTGTGCAACCCAATAACTGTTATACTGGATATTTGTAATAATCTCCTCAGTTTTTCACCAACTGGATTATTTAACTTGAAATCAGCTGTACATTCCCCAACAGGTTACAGGCCATTAACTTTCCTCAGGACGTACAGTTGCCAGAGGTGCACCCAACATGAAGAATTAATATGTTCACAGGAAGACTGAGCAATTGCCTCAGATTTAAATATTTTACTTTATTTAGCTCCTTCAGGGACCGTTCCATCTCATCATTGATAATGCTGCAGTTGAACTGTATTGGCCATGTCTATACACAAATAATCTTGGGTTCTGCCAATATTTGCATGTATACAGAGGACAAAACAAAAACAACAGCGTTTCGGATATCAAACTCAAACTGGTCTGTTTTAATTCCCACCAATACCTCTTTTGGATCTACAAAACTATCCCATTGCACTTTGGGATCAACGTGAAAGCAGTTTGATGGACTTTATAGACTAGCATGTAGATAAGCTGAAGGATCTGTGTTCCCTGATGTTACCCAATTCAAATTAGTTTGCCCTCGATAAATTACTGCAGAACATCATGTCATTGTCTACTAAAACCTTGTTAGTTCTTTGATGATCCACTGCTAGGCTCATAAAATGATACCCATCACTACTTGATTTCACCCTTTTCGAACAGAATCATACTGATTCATTTTCTTCTTCAGATAAGATCCATTTTGCAGCACTATTCAGAATCCTGGGGAGTTGTGTTAGCCCAAAGCATTAAAATAATGAACATTTTTATTTCTGGTACCTTTCAACTGACATGTGCCAACATATACTTCCACAGATACTCAGCAAAGCCAAAGAATTATAGAAAATAAAAAACAAAACAACGGCACTGAGTCACAATGGCACATTTCAAGTCATCAGGTGCAACACAATATTTTGAAGAGTTTAGCACCCAACGGAAGTTTGAACATTCCAGAGTCGCAATAACTTTACTCCACACAGCAAGCCACCTCATGTTGCAGAGGCAGGTTTCACACATCATTCACTCCCTGTGACTTTTAATTGATTCGCCACTGGCATTGTCCCTGTAGAAACAATTAAAAACATTTTAGGAGTCAAAATTGGAATTGAAACGTTGCTCTTCTCAGTCAACCACCTGCTAATCTTCATGTCATCAACAAACTTGCCTAAAACTCCCCACCCACATTATATACAAATAATATGGAAAATAATCACAAACAATAATGGTCCCAGCACTGATGTCTGTATGCCACTGGTATGCCATTGGACACCAGCCTTTCGTCACACAAACAGCCATCTACCACCACCCTTTGACCTCTACTACTGCAAATCAATCTGCAAACCATGTTCAAAAAGCTGAATACATTTGCAAGGTAATAGGGGCAATATAATTGGGCTTTACTTTTTGCTCCTCATTCAATTCGGTAAAGTTTGAGTCAGGTTCACATGTATGTTTTTGTTTGGCAAACTACAATAGTGCTCCAGTGGAAATCAATTATTAAAAGCACTCAGTCATAAGAACATCTCTTTGATAAAGTTCCTAAGTGCATTAGCACCTTTAGACTAGCTGATTTACTTTAACTGCATACCTGAATAGACATTCTGAACGAACATATTGGGCTTTTTAACAAAATTAGCTTTCAGATCAAGGTAAAAATTGGACAATAAAAGTTATTTTGAAAAATTTCGATCTAGTCAGCGTTTCACAATGTGTGATATATTGTATTTTCAAAAATCTCTTTAAAAGTAAACGTACCAACTGGTAAAGTTTGAAGAGCTGTCTGGAGTGCCTCCATTCTGACCTCCGCTACCTGTAAAATAAGCTGAAAGTCAAACTGCTTGTTCCACGACACACAGAGAATTGCAACTTGCATTTTTAGGCAGCTGGAATGCACAGTGCAGTCCCAGGGATCTCCGACAATTTTCTTCTTCTCAGTAAGAAATATTCCTCCAAAAGAAAAGTCAATCACAAGAACGGGGTGTCACCTGTAAGGCTAGTTTCAGAGTCAGTTTAAAGTTGCTATCAGTCTGGAGCTGCACATAAGCCATCCAAGTAAGGATGGTCGATTTCCTTTCCTAAAGTACATTACTCGGTTTAACCAACATCCCTCTAAGCTGCTCAGCCAGTTTGGAGGTTCTGCAGACACCATCGGCATGCTGACACATTAACTTCCAGTTTAGGACGTTGATGGAGCTCACGGACCAGAGGTCCACGCATCAAAAAAAAAAAAAAATAGTTTTGACAACAGTCTGTTACATCTGCAGTCACGTTACAGGGAATTGCTTAATGATAAGCCAGACCAACAGCAAAGGACGAATGAAAAGGAAGCAAAGCCTGTACTCTGGATCCCAGTATCTTTTTGGACGGCTTGCCCGAAATGCCCAAACATCTTTGGTCCAGAATCAACCCATTGATTCACATGGAAACCATGGGTCACGACCAATATTCCCTTGTTTTTTTTCCATTGCGCAGACTGGGATCTGCGTGCAGCAGAAACTTACAAAACTGGAAGCACATGCATTAGCATGCCAATCAAAGCACGCAGAGCCTCAGGGCAACTGCAGCCACACAGCTCTGAGAGAACATTGGTCTCAACCCTGGGTAAATGTCAAATTCGCATTAGGGACAGCCAATGACTGCTTATAGGAGACAGAAATAAAACATGTTGTGTTATGTAAAAGAAATGCAGTTATCATAATTAGAATTTTGCACATTCTGAACAAAGAGTGCAAATCCATTTGAATTATTTCACATACAATAAAACCAGCAGTCAGTAACAAGATCCTGCAATAATCCTTATTTCTTATATTGTTAAAGATTCATGGTGTTGTACAGCATAAAGTAAACTCACTAACACATCTACTCAGATTTGTTCGTGTGCACACAGATTTCGACGGCAGCAAAGCATATGGAATCTTGGGTTTCAGAAACAGAGGTAGCGAGCACAAAAGGCCAGATATTATGCTGAACTTTAAAAAAAGCACTCAATAGGTCACAACTGGAGTACTCCACCCAATTCCATTCACCAGAGGCTGCACAGGAGATTCACCAAAATTATTCCAGAGATAAGGGAAGTTAAGTTTGAGAAGTTTTTTTGGAACACAAAGGATGTTAGGGAGAGGGTGATCTGCTGGAGTCATATGAGATGGTGACAAGTTTAAATGGGGCAGATAAAGAAAAGGTATTCCCATTAGATGGTGTTACAAGGCAAAAGAGAATTAAGATTCTGTACAAGAGATACAGGGAGATGCAAGGAAAAACAACTCAAAAACAAAAACAGTGACTAGTAATATCCTGGAATTTGCTGTTCATAAGGATGGTGGAAGCAGAGGTAATAGTGATTTTAAAAAGGAAATTGATGGGCATTCGAGGGCAATAACCTATAGGGTATAAAAGGGAAGGGGACTTACTGGATTACACTGGAGGGGTCTGGCATAGGCTCAAATGGCCTCTTCTGTGCCATAATGACATTGTAAACAAGAATGTCAAAATGGAATAAAACTATTCCTCAACAAGATTTAGCTCCATATTTATATTATTAGCTCCACAGCTCCCAAGGATCTAAACTTGACCATCTTCCTCACCCCCTATCAGTGCTCAGTGACATCACCTAGAGACATGGAGTCAGCTTCCAAATGTTTGTTTGCAGTATCCACCTACCTCTCTTCCACCTATCTTGATCTTGACATCATCTGGGCTGTCAGATTGCTCATTTGCATTCAGTCTTGAAGAATCCACAGTTTTACACTGGATGAACATTAATTCCATTCCTCTTACCAGCTTGAACGCTTATCCTAATTTTTCCCCACTTTTATTGGCCATGCTTTCAACTGACTAGAAGTTTGATTCTCTTACTCTCAAATACAGACCATTGACTAAGTTTGTCATCACTTTTTCTAATAGCTTCTTCTTTAGCTTGGCTCCCATTTTCTGATCAAAACTTCTGAAGTGCAAATGGACACTTTGTATCTTTAAGGCACAATATAAATGCAAACCACTGAAATGTATATTGGCAAGAGCACATTTGAGAAATAACACCTATCAAAGTTCAGGTGAACTTTTAATGATGTTTTCTACTTAAAAACAATAATATACACAACTGCTTCAGACAATAACAAACTCTGCCTCATTCATCAGAGAAACACTCATGAGACGAATCATTAGTTTATGCTTTAAATTGATAATGGCTGCTTTAGGCAACTTTCTGCTCAAGTAATACTATAGGATATTTCACAGTGCAGCTTGAACCAACAGAACAGGATGAGGAGACACCACCTGCAGTGTTCTGGAGCATCAACCTTAGTCATGTGCTCAAACACTTCACTGTGTTATGGACCAGGCCAGACCCCCTCTAAATATTTTAAGAAGGTAGCCTAGACCCTAACTTCTGCTTTCTTTAAAGGCAGACATGAAGTGGGTGTTCCAGTTGTGATACAAATGGTAAAACATTCGGCTGTACGCAAAACAAAAAATTTATTTAAACACTACAGTTGAAACACGAACAAAAGAAAGCAGAACTTACAGTAACTTAACTATTGGAAAACTTAACCAACCCAATACAGCAACTTAACTAATTAACTGTTCCAATATAGTAACATTCCACAAACACACCCCTTGGTAAAAAGATAAATTCAAACACAGATTCTACAGTCAGGAGGGAACAACATCCAGAGAGAGAGAGAGAGAGAGAGAGAGATTTCAGAGAAAGTCAGAGGAATTAAGCTTGCAACATTTCTGGTACTCAAAACATCTTGTGACTGCAATAGCTAAAAAAAAAACAACTAATAAACACCCTGAGATGGGAGAACTGGCCACTCCACTTCCATTGTTAAGCTGTTACTCGTTAATCTCTTTGGCATCTCTGCCTTTACAACCTCTCTTCAAAAAAAAACCAAGGACAAAATAACCCTTTTAAGGTTGTTGCCTTGTTCGCCGAGCTGGCTGATCATTGTACAGACATTTCGTCACCATGCTAGGTCACATCATCAGTGCGGCCCCCGATGAAACTATGTTGTTCCACTCGCTTGGTATTTATATGATCCAGTCTGTTAAGTTGGGTTGTGTCATTTCCGGCTCTGTTCTGCATACGTTTGTATATGGGTCTAATTGCACGTTTGTTGATTGCATTACGGGTTGACAACCCGGCCTCTAGGAATTCCTGTGCGTGTCTGTGGTTGGATTGAGCTAGGATAGTCACGTTGTCCCAGTTAAACTGATGGCCTTCTTGTCCGGAGTGCACTGAGATGAAGGAAAATTCATCATGTCATTTTGCTGCTAGCTGGTGTTCATGTATCCAGATGGCTAGTTTCCTTCCAGTCTGGCCGATGTAATGTTTGTTGCAGTAATCGCAAGGTATTTTGCAAAATACGTTGGTCCTGCATGTCATGGGTATGGGGTCTTTGTGAAGGTTTGTCATAGTGTGGCTGTCGGTTTGTGTGCTACCTTGATTTCTGATGGTCGCAGGAGTCTGGTTGTCAGTTCTGATATGTTCTTGATATAGGGTAGTGTGGCCAGTGTATTGGGGCATACAGTGTCTTCTTGGCATTGTCTATCGAGTGGCCATTTGAATAGTGTCCTAACACAGCTTTGTTTGTGGACATTGGGATGATTGCTGTGGAAATTGAGGATTTGGTCAGTGTGGGTTAGAACTCCCTGTTGGTCATTCGTTCTACCCTGACATCTAGAAACGGAAGTTGATTATTATCTTCCTCTTCTCACGTAAATTTGATCCCGGTGAAAATGTTGTTGATGAGATGGTGTGTCTTTTCTAACTTGGTACATTTAATGACGACAAACGTGTCGTCCACGTATCGGATCCACAGCTTTGGCTGTATGAGGGGGAGGCTGGTGTGTTCCAGTCTTTGCAATAACTGCCTCTGCAATAAGTCCTGTGATGGGTGACCACATTGGTATGCCATTGATTTGTTTGTATATTTGGCCGTTAAGATGAAGTGTAAGGTGAGACACAGGTCCAGTAGTCTAAGTATGTTGTCCTTGCTGATGGAGCTGTTTGGAGTCAGCATTTCTGCTGCATCCAGTAATGTTGGAAGTGTTTCTTTGGCTAGTGGTATATCAATGGATGTGAATAGTGTTGTGACGTCAAAGGATACCATAATCTCATCATCGTTGATTTTAATGTTCTAGTGTTGTTAAGGAATTCCTGGGTTGAGTGGAAGGAGTGTGGTGATCCGTCAACCAAGTGTTTCCATCTCTGTTGTAGGTCCTTGGCTAGTTTGTGCATAGGTGTGCCTGGTAAGGGAGACAATGGGTCTGAGGGGGATGTCTAGTTTGTGTATTTTGGATAGTCTGTAGAAGCGGGGGGTGTTCGAGTCTTCTGGTCACATTTTCATGTACTCTGTCTTGGTCAATTGTCCTGCGTGTTTTAGTCTCCTCAGCATGTGGGTGATACTGTTTGCCAACTGTGGTGTTGGGTCTATCTCCGCCTGTTGGAGAGTGTGTGTATCTGCAAGCAGTGCCTGTGCCTTCTCAACGTAGTCCAGTTTATTCACAATGATGGTCATGCGCCCTTTGTTCGCTGGTAGGATTTTGATATTCCTATCTTTCTCGAGTCCTTTTCTCTCCGATGTGTTGAGGGTGTCCCATTCATTCCTCCAGTTCAGTGTAGGGATTATAGTTTGTCGGATGGCTTGTTGTGTTTCAATCTGTGAGTCCATTACCTTTTAGTGTAGCTTCGAAGTCTGTTCGCGTTTCTGTGGTTATAGTTTAGTCCGCGTATTAAGACAACTTTCTTGGTTTCAGTAAGTGGTCTGCTGGATAGATTTCTTATCCATGAGTCTGGTTTGTTGTTGT